GGCTGGGGGGAGCCGGACCGGGGGCAAACCGAGGGCCTGCCGCTGAGCTAGGCACCCGCCCCGGCGTCCCTCTGCACCCCTCGCCCCGTCCTCGGGTAGGGACTGGCCTGTGGGACGTGGGTCTGCAGGATGAGGCCGTTGACCCGCTCCTGCCCGGCTGCTCTTGCGGTGCCCTGCTGTCGGGCAGGGAATGGGGCTGCAGCTTGGGGCCTGGGGGCTGCCCGGCAGGAGCAGGATGAGCTCCCGGTGGGATGGGCAGCAGGACGGGCAGCACTGCCTCGGCGGGATGCTCCCCATCCCATCCCACCGCCCCTCTTTAACCCTGATGCTCCTTTTCTGCTCATCTCCCTTTGCAGCCACCTGCAACGGCATAGTTTCCTTTTGCAGCTGGACATTGTGTAGGTCTGAAGGACCAATTTGGGTGGGCGCCGGCGGCTCGGTGGCACAGTGACATGGTGGCGGAGAAGGGCCAGGGCCCTGGAAGCAGCCCAGCTCAGTGAGCAAATGATATAGCAGAAAAGGGGACACTTCATCTTCAAACTTGATTACTCGCCGTTAGCTTTAACTGCACTGTCTCCGTTTAAATGTGATTTACATATATCTCTCATATTGCGGTTTAAGTATTTCCCCAGGGTGAGGGAATGAATAAGTTTCATTATCACTACTTAGGAGAGGCTGAGGTTTCAGCTCTCGGCTCATGCTGCATAATCGAATGAGGAGCTGAGCCGGCTGCTGCTTTCACACCGGCTGTTATTGCAAAATTATAAACTTTGCTTTCACCTAGCCAGGCGGCCAGGCCCCACCAGACCTGGGGGCACAGGCTGGGGGAGCCCTGGCACGGGGCTTGGGTGATGTGCTGCCAGCTGCCCCAGCTATAGCACTGGAAATAGAATTTTCCAGCGTAATTGGAAATAAACTAATTTCCTCCTCCCCCATGCAAATTCTAATGTCCCAAAGCTGAAATGTGTGAGTGGGGTTAAAATAAAAGCCCTGGCACGGGGCTCGGCTGCCTGGTGTGCTGGAGATGGGTGATGTGCTGCAGCTGCCCCCAGCTATAGCACTGGAAATAGAATTTTCCAGCGTAATTGGAAATAAACTAATTTCCTCCTCCCCCATGCAAATTCTAATGTCCCAAAGCTGAAGGACCATGTGTGAGTGGGGTTAAAAGCGGTTAGGATGCAGGAGGGACAGACATCGCTGTGCCCCAGCGCCCTGCGCCATCACGCTGGACCCGATGATGGCTTGGTGGGGATGAGGACACTGTGGCCACGACGGTGACATCGCAGCACAGCCGCCTTCAGGGCTGCAGGGCTTGCCTTTGGCCCTTTTACACCCTGCCCCCCCAAAGCCCTGAGCTATTGCACTCTCTGCCTTCAGGCATGGCTGTGGAGGTGAGGGGGCACCCCAGGGGCCAGAGGGCTGGGGGTGCTTGGGCACGGCCTCCTCCTGCTCCCCCCCCCCGCACCGCCCTGCCAGTGATGACAAACCCAACAAAGGGAAAAGAAAAGCACTTGTCATCCAGAATGCGGAGCGCAGAAGCAAATTTATTTTTAGATAAATCTAAAGCTTAATTTGTGAAGCTAATATCAATCAAAATGAGAGATGGTTTTTTTTAAGTCCTTTTGCAGCCATGCAATTTATACTGCCTGTCTCTTCTCTTCACTCTCAAACAGCAAAGGCGGCCGCTAAGTTTAATATCAGCCTCATGCACGCCTGCCTTAGAAATTATTATTATTATTATTTTAATAGGAAGATATCTGCAGACCAGAAATGGCATCATTTCCCCCCCAGCATGTTCCTGCAGTGCTTGTGGGGTGCTGTGCCCCGCTGGGGCGAGGGGGCTATGGATGGTGGTGGCTTCGCCCTGGGTGCCGGGACATATCTCAGGGAGGGTCCCTGCCCCATCTCCAGCCCACATCTGCGTGTGCTTCGGGTCCCCACGGACTCACCTGCACCCGCTGGAGCGGCGCTGCGGCAGTCCTGGATGGAGGCAGGCGCCCACCAAGGAGGGACCCATTTCTTTTGCATTACATGTTTGAAGTCTTCCCATGCACAGTGAAATCCTCCTCCAAGAGGGAGCTATCTGAGGGGAGAATTAACCTGCTAAATAATAAAAACCCTGCGCACCTCCTAATGAAATGTAATGACTTTGAGACCTGCAAGATGGATCGCGCCGTCGCTCCAGCCGCTCGCCCTGATTTATGGTGATGTGGGAAGCAGTGCTAATGAATCCCCCCCCTTGGAGGGGAACCGGTAGTGGAGCAAAGTTTCTCCTGGGGCCCCCAAAGCCCCTGGCGAGGCACTTTGCACTGCGCAGCCCTGGCCTCGGTAGGGCCCCCCCCTTTGGTAGCCCCCAATGCATGAGGGGAGCCACAGGGAGGGGCTGCAGCCAGCACTGCCACCCCATGCCCAGCACAGAGGGACCCACCAGCACCGCTGTGCTTCAGCCTCACATTTCTTTTGATGCGGCATCTTTTTAATGACAAAGATCTAAGCAAATATTTTCCTCCGGCTAGTCTAATTTTAACACGCAGGCAGGCAATGGCACACACACCCCTCCCCCAGTAACATTAACCTCTGTGAAAATTTCCTTTTGTCCCAATTTCTCTTTGTTCCCTGGATCGGCTGTCCCGCCGCTCCCTGGCGGTGACGGAGCGGTCCCCTCCCGGCATGCCATAAATATCGGCCGAACCACGCGTGCCGCGGTTATGGCAAGAGAGCAAACGAGACAAATGGAGCCGCGCTCCCCGGCTACAGCCGTGGCCACGGGGCGGCTCTGGGCATGTGGCTGCATGGCTGTGTCCCTGTCCCCATCCCTGTCCCCACCCCTGTCCCCCTAGGGCTAGGGGGGAGCAGCACAAGGGCAAAAAATAAGAACAATAAAGCTTTGCCCCTGGCAAACCAGCCCTCTGCCTCCCCACATCCACGGCCGTGCTGTGTTTTGGGTGTCCCCCAGTGCACAGCTCAGGCTGGCGGCGCCCGCGCGGGGGCCCTCTGCCTCCCCACATCCACGGCCGTGCTGTGTTTTGGGTGTCCCCCAGTGCACAGCTCAGGCTGGTGGCTCCGGCGCGGGTCGCGGGTGCTCCACGCTGCCCGACACCCGGCCACAGGCAGGAGTGGGCAGCACTACGCCTGCAACCCTGCCGTGGGTTTCCGCCGGGACCGGTCGCGCAGCCAGCGATGGCCATGGGCAAGTGTGGGCAGCAACTGGTTTAAAAATGATCCAAATTCTGCAGGTGGGTAAGTGGAAAATAAAGCAACACGTGCCCTCGCAGCCATGTCGGGGTCGCAGGCAGCCATGGGCAGGGGTGCGAGCGGGCAGCCGAGTCCCTGCCGCCCTCAGCCCCCTCCCCGGCCAGGATAACGGCACGCCATATGTCACCGCCACGGGATGCGGGGGCCGGGGAGACGCGCCCTCTGCCCAGAGCTATTTGGGATTTAATACTATTATCCTAATGCAACTGGCTCATTGTTCGGGCTGGGAAGCTGTCGCCGGGGCAGAGCAGGGGGTTGGTCGGTCTGGGTTAGGGGAGCGCAGCCCCCAAGCTGGAGCGGGGCTGCCGGAGAGCCCCGGCC